TAAAATGTAACTTGTCAATTAATTTTACTATTGTTTTGCCGAACTTAATAAAATTCATATAAATTCGGTTTAACCCGAGTTATTTGAGTCAAATTACAGTCGGGTCGAGTCGAGTTCAGGTTATATAGTTGACTGACCCGAAAATTTGAGTCAGGTTACATGAATATTTGAGTCGAGTTCGAACATCCCCTTAAACCAGACCTAACCCGACCCGTACAGAGTACTAACTCTGCGTTTCTAACGAGGTGATGTTTACATACATAAACTCCCAGATTCCAGCAATGTCGTCCTAAAGAGAATTACTGAAAATGTATCCATTTCGATATGATCACTTGTCGGAGAAGCATTCTTACAAAGAGATTTCAAACAAATCAATTTCATTGTCAAGTAAGTTTCATACCCATGTTTACACTTAATGCGTCAATTGTTCAAGGAAATTCTTGGATTAATACCCATGTGTAATCGGCTATCATTAGAGTATCTCATGAACCTGTTTAGAATACATGCGTCACTGAATTACTTCAATAACAAATTATTTTTTACTTTTTAGGTCTTAGATTTCTACTGCAGGTACTCATTCTGGTATGATCGCTTGCGGAAAAACCCTACTTGAAAATTTCCATAACAAATCAATGAGTCAAGTAAGTTTCATACCCATGTTTACACTTAATGCGTCAATTGTTCAAGCACATTCTTGGATTAATACTCATGTGTAATCGGGTTTTATTAGAGTATCTCATGAACCTATTTAGAACACATGCGTCACTGAATTACTTAGAGTTTTGAATCTTCTTTAATCAATAAAAAATTCTTTTATTTTAGATCTTGAAATTTTTACTTTATAGCAGGTTCTACATTTCGGTATGATCGATCACTTGTCAAAGGAGCAGGAATTTTCTATTTACAAGCTTAATTATCCTAGTTCCGGTCATATGATGTCCTAAAAAGAACTTCTGAAAATGAGTCAAGTTTATTGAGTTTGTACTTGTTTAAGCGAAACTTCAGCGTAAAAATTTTAATCTCGCGTTCTGATGAGAAATTTCGAAAGCTCCCAGATTCCAAACCTTATCTTATCGTTTATCCTAAATATGAATTTAATCCGTAGACAAAATGAGAATAAGAACGCTTTATATTTTTGAAAATCAAATAGCATATCAGTAAGAGTTTTATTATTATTATTATTATTATTATGACTGTATTGCGCAAATATCAGTTTGCGAAGAATTGAATAAATATAACCTTTAATTGACTTTTGATTTTCGTCAAAATTTTTAAGTTTCTTTAAAACTCATTATTGAAATTTATTTTTGAGAATACTTCAATAGTTTTGTGTCTGGGCTAATTTGAGAAAATTTTGATTTTCAGGTTAAAAATTTAATTCTTTATTAAATGAAAACTAGTAGAAGTCAAAGTCCTGTTCCAAGTAGATATGGAAGAAGTACAAGTAAGGTTATCTGGAGTCGAAGTCATGGACGCAGCAGAAGTCCTGATAGAAGCTCTAGGAACTTATCTGTAACCAATAAAATTCTGGTAACATAACTCCTGAAAAGAAATAATAGGAACGTAAGAAGTGATAGATGCAGAAGTCCAAGTCAGAGCCCAAGCAGAAGCATTAGCAGAACTCTGGAAAGGAATGGTAATTAATTAAATATTAATAATAAATAAAATGTCATTTGTTTTTTATTTTATTATTTAACAATAGTGATTAGTTCAATTCAAACAACGTTAAATTACTTGAGCGAAGAATGGAAGATACAATCGAAAATCACATGAAGTATTTGAGGATGTGACTTTCGAACAATATAAGTCTTTAGAGTTACGATAAAAAATATTTTCTCCAGATTTAAAATTAATCAGAACTAATAATTAACATTTTGTAAACTTAGGATGAAGTTGTTCAGATATTTTCCGGTCTGAATGATTCACTGCACCGTTACTTGATCATATGAAGCCATGGATGAAATTTCGCGCCAGCTATCGATAGAACTATAATTCGAAGAATCAGATATGACCAAGTTGAACTTAAATATGTTCTTCAACAATTACTTCGGCACAGAAAAAAATCCTGCCAAATTTCTCAAAATATTGATTGGTCAAAATAGAAGAACAAATTCAAAGCGTTCCAATGTAAGTATCAGTTTTAGGATATATCAGAATACCCATAAGACTTTATATGCTTATTCCTATTTTAATTATTTTAATGAAAAAGAAAAATGAAAACGCGGATCGAGCATATGTAAAACACGAACGATCAAATTTTTCCGAAGTATAACCCAGGTCCGTAAATAACGATCTATATTATTTCATCCACCCAAAATAAAAATGAAACGGATATGCAAGTACAATAAGCCTTAAATTACTAAATTTATTTATCTATAGCTCTTTATTTGTTGTATTATAGGTTAAAAAATTGCTTAGACATGCAGATGATGTTGACGAAATATCTAACGTATAAAATTCAAAGAAAACGATGGTATGACAAACGATAATGCATTTAAAGACAATATAAGACCACCACCCGAACTTCTGAATGGACGATATCATCTTTATTTGTGGAGGAGAGATAAGAGTGAAAGGAAAAAAGGGAGGAAATTATCAGACGAGAATATAATTTATCTAGAATATAATTAGTAAAGCGAAAATAAATATGTAGGATAAATATATAGAATAAAGCAAAATATGTATGCAGACAATGCTAATTTATCTTGTTTCCTATATTTGTAATATAATATTATTTATCTTATGCTAATATCAAATTTTTTAGAATTTGCTTCAAAGTTTTAAAAAAGATGGTTTATAAGTTAATATTCAAAATGAAAATATTTTAATTTAATTCTAATATATTATATACAGTATATATTATATATATTATATTAAAGTCATAGATTATTAAAATAAGTTTATAAATTTCTACAAAAATAATAAGAGATTATTTTAATTAATAAAATAATTATAAAAGAATTATTATCGATCAGTTTAACATTAATAGATACTCACAGCAGTAATAAAAATACATACAAATAAATGAAATCACTCACATAATCCAAATTTAAAGTGGAATTTTAAAGATTAAAGCACCTTACCCATTCAGAATTTTAAATATATGGAACATTTGCAAATACCAAGTATTATGTGATGTAAAATTTATGCATCTTCATTAATAACTCTCATGTGGTAGCTCTTTTTTTATAAGCTAATTAGTAATTTAGAAATAGTTTTAAATTCAATATTTTATTAGAGTCTGTTTTAAAGAAACTCGATCAGATTGATCTATTTCATCTTTATTGAAAAATAACTTAAAATAATATATAAAATAAACAAGTAGCATGTATTAAAAATTAAGTTACATTATAAAAATTTATTAATTTTAAGCACATAACACATTGTCATAAAATATTTAGTAATTCAATGATTTTTCTAAGATGTTAATTTTATCCTAACGTTGAAATCCTAATAATATTCAATTTTCAATTATTGAAATGAATTTTTGACAGTCCTATATCCAATTCTAAATTCCAAATAATATTCAAAGAAAAAGGAATAAATATTGATTTGTCCAGCATTAAAAAATAGACCTTAATCTATTGAAATGTTATTTTTAAATATATGTGAACTCCAAAATCTATTTATACTCGTAAAACATTTTAGGTAAAAATTTTATAATAAACTCTAATAATTTATGCTTGTCCTAAAAAAGAATTCATAACGCAAAATCTCCAAGCTTTCTAATTGTTGACAACTATTAAAATTCCTTTATATCTCTATAAAATACACTGCGTAATGACCTTAGATTTAGATAAAATTTTCATGATTCTAAATTTAATGAATAATTAAAATTTTTGCAAAGTCTAAGTACCTTTAAATTCTTTCTATTATTTTCCAGGAATTTAATTAAGTATTCATTATTCGAACAATCATATCTAAATATTAAAATTTGCAACTCTAAAAGGTATTATATTGAAGTTTATTAAAATCTTTTAAACCACTATTCATTAATTAATGATAATGAAAGTCTTTATAAATTTAAAAGTTCTGAAATTAGTGACTATGTATATGATAACATGCTAAAATATATGTAACTTGATTAATTTTAAAGATTTTTAAATTATAGAATAATGAAGTTTAAAAAATCTTATAATTGAGTAACTTATATCATTAATCCTAAGACTCTTGATAAATGCTATATAATGAATTAATAGAGGTCTTACTAAAATAATAACTCATTCTCAGATAATTTATTTTTGATATGTTAGAAAAACAAATGAATAAAGTATAGAAATTTGAATTATTCTTTACAAAAGTTTCATACCACTAGTAGTATTAGTGGTAGCTGTGGTTGTGGTAATTATAGTAGTTTATTCTGCTTTATCTAAACCATCTGAATTAATAATAACTTTACTTTACGTGTGTTTAGTTTAATGCTTTTACAATTTTGATGATGATTTTCTTTCACTTAATGTGTAAGTCTTATATCAAAGAGCTCAGTAGTTAAATGGACATATAAAACATTTTAATCAATATTTTACTTCAATCTATTTTGCTTTATCTTTGAATCAAGTAGAAATCATAGAAACTGTGATAGTTGATTGATCATAAAACGTATTCTGAATCATTCAAAGGTATTTATTCGATTATTGATTAACTTTATGTCTTTTAAAATTTTCTTTAGCATACATACTATTACTTTTATTTGATCTTTATCATTTTCAGCTTTAGGTAATTATTGTAAAGATACTGTTTTAAAAGTTGCAAGATTAATTATAATAAAAAAAATTATAATTTGATTAGTTTATATTGAATTAGATAATATAATTATTATGTTAATCTTGTTTATATTTTTCATTTTTCCATAACTATACTATGACTCTTGTCATTTTTTCAGATTCTAAAACCTTCAAATATAATTGTTTATATAATTTATGTAAAATCATATGTTGGGTATTATATAATATATGGTTGGATTAAAAAAAATTATATAATAATTATTATTATATGATCCTTAATCATTTTGACACTTTTCCTAGTGTCACTGAGAAAAAAACTTAAATACATGATTATAATAAAATATTTGTCATATAGTATTACATCCCTCAAGTTTATATTTCTAAAACTCTCTTATAATCACCATTAAAAATCTTCAGATATATGATTTTAGAACACATGATGTGACTTAGTTGAATATATTTAATAATATTTATTTTAATACTATATACTAACCCTAATTCTATGAAACTAATCATAAATGTTATACAGTCACTAGCTGCATGGCCTACAGCTGGCTTTTCTAACAAACTTTCCTTCTGAACCTTAATACTATACCCTAACCTAATGCCACGTCCTAACCCTAATGCTAATTATTGCATAGCTAGATATATTTCATTTTTTAATCCTAACTTACATTTTAATACAATATATTTAATTAATTAAAATAAAAATTTTAAGTTTTTATAATAAGTATAGATTTATTTATACAAATTTTATAATTTTTACAAATAATGAGTACTAACTGTAAACTACTTCAAGTTAAAGGCATAATTCTTTACTAATCTAATAATAACAAGTTGTTGTAATAATTAAATCATCAAATAACTTATAAATTGTTTTAAAATTATATACAAATAAGAAAACTAAATAAAAAATCAAGATATAATTTTAAAACTTTTTTTTAAAATAAATAAAATGAAAATTAATTATTTATTTACATATATAATTAATTCATTAATGCAATAATTATAGAGATTCTAATATAATCAAATATTTTATAGTTAGAAATATCAACATTTCAATAGAATCGATAATCTTTTTTATAATATCAAGATATTAATTAATTATCATATATTTTTATATATTGTTTTTGCTTCTTATTAACCCTTTAAAATCTTTTACTAAAAACTTTTATAAGTTTAGCTATTTAGAAATATCTTTGATTTATAATTTAAAAATTCAGAAGTATCAAATTCCAAAATAAAAAGAGCAATATTGAAAAAAATATCTAAAAAAAGATTATTAAAAAGATGCTTGAAAATATTTGTATTTTGTTAATATTAAAAAAAGCATATTAAATATTATTATGAACAAAAAAATAATATCAAAAAAATTAGAATAAAAAAGAAAGCATAGGAATTTTAAATTTGTTTATATCAATATTTTGCACTATTTATAAATCAAATCACATATTTATAAAGCAAATTACATATCTAAAAATTTTTGATGATAATCCTAGAAAAAATGCATTTCTATTATTTATTTAGAGGACTTTTTGATGTGACAAAATTTTATTTTTATATTTCAATCTATTACAGGTTAAATTAATTAGAATTAGATTAAGTTAGTTAAGATTAAGTATTAGTATATTATTGTAAAAATATCATGTGTTTAAGTTTTTTTTCAGTAATATTTAGTAGTTTTATTTTTATTAAAGATAACACTACAACTAATTACAATAAATGATAAATAAGTATTACAGAGTTGCAACTAGTAACAAATAAGCATCATATAATTGCAACTAATTGTAGTATTATTTTTAATTTTAATTATAATAATAATCTTTGTATACTAATCTTAAAGTTAAAAATCAGTTTGAAGGATAAAAACAATCTTGAATTCCAAAAATTTTAATTTTATTTTTATTTTAAATTTATCAAACAAAAAAAATAACATATCATTTAACAAGTTAGTTGTATATTCTTTATATTAAAATTTATTTTATTTATTATAACTACAGAAGAAAGATCAGTTGTTTATACTTCAAATATATTTAAAAGTAATATTCTAGCCTATTTGTATTGAAAAGAATTAAAAGTTAGGTAATTTTAAAAAAATAATTTAAGTAACTTGGTAATTTATTTGTGAAAAGTCAATAGTAATATATCTTAATATTAAGAGAAATTGTTTATTCATTATCTATTTATACTATTTCTTCAAAGTAATTTATCTTTAATAAATAATTTCTTTTTTTTTTAGATTAGTTTTTTCTTTTGGTAAAGAACCAGATAGAACTTTTGAATAAAACTATCTAATTCATATTAAAGTGAAAGTAAGCTAACTAATTTTAATATTTGTTTTTTTTTAATATTTACATTTACATTAAAGATAAGCTGACTAATTTTTTTTTTGATTTATTTTTTTTCTTTTTCTTATTTTAGTAATTAGTTTTAATTACTAATTTTATTTATTTTATCTTATTTATTTGATTATTTGTTTTAATTTTTAAATAGCTTTAAGTTAGATTAATAATGATTTTTTTAATATATTATTACACTTTTATTTGATTAATTTTATTATTTAGGCTAAATCAATTTATCTTTTTATTTGAATTATCAGATAGAATAAGATATTTATTATCACAGTATAGATTTTTAATAAATTTTTTGACTTTATCAGTATTTATTATTATTAAATATTAGTAATAATAATTATTATAATAACCAATTATTATTTTTTATTTTATTTTATTTTACATAATTATATAATAAAAAATTATATAAAACTTAACTTAATTTATTTATATAATTCTTTTTGTATTAATATTTTTCCTGTATTAAGCTAACCAATTATGCCTATTTCTTTCTTTTTAGAAATAATCATAACTAATATAGAATCACCTAACACTAACAATTATATGGTAAGAACTATATAACAATAGTTTCTTTAATAATAAATTTATAAAAAATAAATCTTATTATAATGAGTTAAATTATTTCAAATTTATAATTTAATTATGATTTTAATATTTATTTGATAAAATTAATCTAAAATTTTTATTAGTTAATAATTAAATAAAGTATTTTTAATTAATTAATAACTGGTTAAAATATTTTTAATTAATTAACTAATTAAAGTTAATTTAGACTAAAATAATAAATTTATTTATTAAGTTTCTTTTTAAAAAATCAAAAAACCATTTTTTTTTAGTTTGTAAAATCAGATCTTATTAGATTATAATTCAAAATCTGATTAAAAATTTAAACTATCAATTTTATAATTCTTATCACAAATAAGATATAAATGTTTTAGTTATGGATATGCTTTTGCAAGAAAGTGATTTAGAGTTAAATAATCATAAAATAAAAATTTTTAACTAAAATATTAATTATTTTGATTAGTTAAAAAAATCCTTAAATTTAATAAATAAACTTAAGAAACAAAACTGTTATTGAGTTTAAAGTGATCTTGTTATTTTTTAAACTTGGAGATTTTATTAGTTAAAAATTATGTGGATGAACAGAAAAATGCAATAATCATGTAACTAAAAAAATTCCATAGACATAAATATATATTATATTTTACTTCACTTTAGATACTTAACTAAATAAATTTAGTTTTAATTTTATTTGAATATTTAATATTATAAATTAAAATTAATAAATATATAAAATAAATTAAAAGATTTTATTAAAAAAATATATTAATTAAAATTTATATTAAAAATTTTTTAAATTTTATTAATATTATTATTTACAAACTATTATAAATTTTTAAATTTTATTTATAATATTCTTTATAAATTATTAACTTATATTTATAATTAAATTAGATTTTTATATATATATTATTTTTTAATTTAAATTATAATCTTAATATTAAATAAAATATATAAATAGTATAAAAATTTAATTTTTAAAATATTTAATAATAGAAATAGTAATATATTATTATAATAATAATATAATTTAATTATAAAAAAATTTTAATAAATTTATTTATAATTATAGTTTTATAATAATTATTTATTATAATATAAATATTTAATCACTTTTAAAATAAATATAATAATTTTATTAAGTTTAAAATTAATTTAAATATAAAATATAAATTAAATTTAATTTTTATATAATATTTTTTATATAAATTATTATTTAATTTTTATATATTAAATTTATAAATATAATTTTTGTAATATTTAAAATATTATTTTTAATAATTACAATAATAATTTTATATTTAACTATTATTATAATTTTTTTATAAAAATATATATATAAGTAAAATTAATAAAAATTATTGCAAAATTATATTATTATTTCGCTTGAATATATAATTTTAATTTTATAAATAAAGTATAAATAAATTATAAATATAATTTATCTATAAGATAAAATTTATTTATATTTAAAGCTTTTACTAATATTTAATAATAAAAGATAATAAATTAAATATATTTAATTATCTATTTTTATAAAAATAATTTTTTGATTATATATTATGATAAGTAAATTTTTATTAAGAATTTATTTAGTAATTTTAATATCAATATTATTTTTTTAAAGATTTTTTTGTAATCAATTAGTTAATTATATTTTTCAAATTATTATTTTTTTGCAGATCTATTAATTTTATTTTTATAATATATATTATGTTTAATTATTTAATATGTATAAATATTTTTATATTTTTAATAAGTCTTATTACCTTTCTATTAAAGGTAAAAAAATAGAATAATAGTTTTTTTCATTAATTAAATAATAAACTTATATAATAAAAAATATAATTAATCAAGTATAAAACTTATCTTTTATAACTATTCATAATTACTTAAATTATGTCTAACTATTTGAATCTTTTTGCAATCCTTTAATTATTAATAAATTTATTATATAATTTTATATTAATTTGTTATATTAATATAGAATTTCTAAAACATATTCTCTAAATATTTTTATGTTTATTTTTGTGTTTTTTATTAAAAATAATTTTTGATATTATTGTAAATTTTTTATATAATGTATTTTAAGAAATAATGAAACTGTAATATAATAGTAGAAAATATTAATAAAAAATAAAATAATGATAGAAATTATTAATGAAAGAAATAGGAATTAAAGATCATTAGAAAAAAGAATAGGAATTAAAAATTATAAAAATTAGAAATTATTAGAAAATTAAAATCATTAAAAAAAACAGGAATTAGAATTAATAAGAAAGAATAAAAATTTAAAGTAATTATAATATTCAAAATAATTATTATATTATGAATTTATATTATAATTTGTATATTTATAAATTCTACAATATTATAAATTTTAAAAAATAGCAACAGGTCCATTTTTAGTTACAGTTATAAGTAAAGATGATTCCTATAATTATTTTCAAATTTAATTGAGTTGTAACTTAATTACTCTATAAGAAAATTTAATTGCATCACAAGTTGCAACTTAATTGTAATATTTTTTTAATTATGATAACCATCTTTAGCTATAAGTAATTTAATTAAAACAGTTATAAAAAAAATTAAAATCATTAATTAAATAATAAATTAAATAAATAAAAATTATATATAATAAATAAATTATAAATTAATAAATTAAATCTGATTTCTTATTACAAAATTACTATTAAAAAATTTACAAAAAATAATAATAATAAATTTAAAAAAATAAAAAAATAAATAAATAAAATCTATTTTTATTGCATTTAATAATTATTAAAAAATTTGTTATTATTATTCTAAAATAATATAATTTAAAAATAAATGAATAAATTAATAATATAAAATAAATTAATAAATAAACAATAATTTACTTATTTTAGTTGCTAAAAACAATAAAAATCACATAATATGATAGTAAATAATTAGAAAATGATAAATTTTAAGTAATATGAGATAGAAAAGGGTTAATTTTTTTATTTTTTATTATTTTATTATTATTTTTACATTTTTTAGATGATTTTAAGAGTTGATTTTTATTATTTTATTAATTATTTTATGATTTTAGATAATTTAAAATTTTATTTTTCTATTTTTTTATATTTTTAAGCAATTTCAAAAATAATTTTTTTATTTTTTAATATTTTATGTAGATCAATTAGTCAATTTCATTTCTATATGTAGATCATTTTTGTCAATTAATAATCTATTTAATTTATATATTAATTTTATTGCTTGCAGATCTTTCAACTTTATTTCTATTAAATATTTTTAGTTAAATTATTTTATTAATTATCTATAATATATAAATATCTTTGTAATTTTATTAAGATTCATTACTTTTTTAGTAAGGTAAACTAATAAGGTGTTAATTTTTTAAGTAATAAACTTATTATTATATTAATAAAGGAATATAATTAATCAAGTATAAAACTTATTTTTCATATTCTTCATAACTATTCATAATATTTAAAATTGTTTATAATTTATTTGTAAAACCTTTTGCATTCATTACAATCTCTTTAATTATTATTAATACATTTATTATTTGATACTATATTAATTACTATATTGATTTAAAGCTTCTAAAGTATAATCTCTAAATATTGTTATATTTATTTTTATGATTATCTTACATATTTTTATTGAGAATAATCTTTAAAATTATTGTGAATCCTTATTCATAATACTTTAAGTAATTATTATAGTTTATTTACTCTTTCATGATTTTTATTAAAGTTATTATCCAACATAAAGTATAAATTATCATATTACTAATTAAATTATATTTTGACAAATGAATTATATTTTAATAAATATAATTATTTATTAATAATTATAATAAATGTTGAATTGATATAATTGATTTTGATATTATTAAAATTAATTTGTGCTAAATTATAAATAAATATTTAAAATATTTTACATTATATTTTATATACTTATTTGGCTAAATTAAGACTAATTTTAGGCTAATTTATAATTGTTTAAATTTTGAATTAATTTTAAATTAATGCTAAATTGAGATTAATTTTATGGTTGAATTTAAATTTAAAATTGATGCTGAATGGCTTTATTTAATTGAAATCGATTAGTGTTTATTATATTGATCAGAAAATATAATTAATTAATCGTAAATAATATTAAAATCAGCCTAAAATTAGCATTTAATTTTTAGTTACTTTGAACTATTTCTAGAAGTGTATTACTTATTAAATATAACATTTAATTATACATATGTATGATTAGTAATTTAAAATTTTGTTTTGTATTATTTTTTCTTATACTTTTTTTTTTCTTAAAATTTTTTACGTTATTTAACTCATCTTTCTTTATTAATAATAAGAATGTGATTTGTTTTATTGACTAAAGAAATAATTTTAAAATTTTAAAATACATCAAGAAATGTAAATACAGACAAATTTAACAATATGTAAATAGGTTTATTTATTAAGTTTTATAAAGCCTGTAATTGTTTAAATAAAATTGTTAAATTGCATAATAAAATATTATTTAATTAATTAAAACAATTTTTAGTAAAATTAAGAAAATTTAATGGTTAAATATAAAGCATTATCATTATATACTGGATTTTATATTTTAGTAAAAGGAATTTCTAAAATATTTGAGAAAATTAGAGTGGTGAACTTATTTGATGCTTTTCAATCTAAAAGTTTACATAAAACTTTGAATGGTCATATGAAATCTATTACTAATCAAGGATAAAATAATTAGATCCATTAGAATTTGATGAAATTTAATTAATACTTAACTCACCTTTTGCTAAAATAGATACTCTTAAAAGCCTTTTACAAAAGGTTTGGATCTGACTAACTTTATTGTACTATTAAGAGGTGATGATGCCAAACAATTGAAAGCTTCTTGGATTGTTAAATGAATGATGGTGGAATAAAGCTTGAATTACTTAAGGAAAAGAATTAAAGATTCATATGCATTATCTGACACAAGCTTTATACAATCTGATATTTCAGAAAACATTTATACTCCTGTTGCAGATATCCAAAAATACTTAAATAAACATCTTAATAAATTGAGGATGATTATTTCTTTGTATTACTAAAAATTACAAGTGACACGTGATACTCAAAATAATAAAATATAATAAATGTCGAATCCGTCAAAATTTACACAACTTCAATTCAATTCAATCTGATTATAGTCTAGAATGTGATTAAATTTTTTTTATTTGTTCTAAATTCAATCTCTACCATAGAAAAACCTAGAACATCATATTGAAAATATCATACATATTATTGGTATAACGTTACATCCGAATATTAATTTTCTCAATGTTGTGAACGAATAGACATTTAAATAAGATTTTGAAAGTAGTATTCGTAATCTTTTTTCCTTTCAAGGTTGCACAATGCACATCAAAGCTCTATTTTTTTTTTTTTAAAAAAAATACCGATTAAGTATAGCATCCATACCGTTTTAGTGAAATTATTAGAAAATTATTTTGATCTTGAAATGATAAGCTTCTGGAATTGATTCCAACATTATAAAAAGAATGTTTTAAATCGGTACCTTTCAACTTTCACTAAAAATGAATATATCTTATTGAAGTTATAAGTTAATTATAGGAGTTAACAATTTGAAATATATATGATAATAAATGATAATGCAAAAGGAGTGGTTAAAAAAAACTCATTACTAAATCGGTGAGCTTACCAATTTATCATATAAAAAAATGTGAGAATTGCTTTTGTAAAAAAAAAGCTTCCCTATTTTCATTTTCATTTTCATTTTTATTTTTTTTTATCTATAAGGTATTTAAGAAATAATAACTTTCAGCTACTTAACTCGACATTTTTTTCATTATATTTGAAAGAATTTTAACAAAAAATGTAATAACTCATATCTTATGTCACAATGTAATTTCTTTTCTTGTAATAACTTTAGATACCGTTCCACTGCTTATATAATATATACTTCATTTAATTTACTTTGCAAATATCCATTACTAGTTACCTATTTTTAAATTAAATTATGACAGCAATAGGTAATTTTATGTAATTTATTTGATATCGCATTCTAGTAACAACATTAAAATCGATCAAACTTTCTGATTCTCCAGGGGAAAAAACCGTATTCTTTGCTTTAACTTGCTCAATTACTATGAACATCATTGTCATATGAGATCAAGATTCATGTATTGTTCGATGACTTGTATTGAAGATATCAGCTTTCATCAATTTAAAATTTTTCCTTTTGACGATAGATACCAAGCCAATGCAACTCTATATTTTAAGAATACGTATGAAAATGTCCTTGGCATATTTAAACTTGGTAATCTAATTTAAATTTATTTTACTACATGTGTCTATTCATACTGTATATATAATCCTTGAATTGATTTCATTATATATGTATCCTTTACTGCTCCTATAACAATAACTACAAATTTATCATCGTTACCTTCTTTAACGTATATTCTAACAACGACATCCTCAACTACAAATGCACCATTTTCTCCACCATATTCACAAAGGTCTTGCTATAATTGTAATGTATCAATTAGTATCGTTTGGAGATATGGGGAAGATGGCAAACCATTTTGTAACGCATGTGGTTTATAGTAAGAATTGTACTGTTGTTTTAATTTTTTTTTTATAATATTTTTCCAAAGTATTAATAAAATAAGTTATGATTTAACCTTAGGACTCGTGGTACGAATCATTTGTACGAAAATGTAAACGGCAACGTTCATGTGATTAGAACAAAACATAAGACAAAAGTGTTCAAACGTGCATTATTTATGGCACAAATACGACATCTGCTTGGAGAAAGTATGGAGGTAATAAAAGGTGTAATAGATGTGGGTTGTTTTATAAAAGTAATGGTTATGATAAATCACATTCACATTAGGTGATTAGTATCTTAACATATTGAGGATTTCAAGTTCTGAGAAATTTTTGACTAAAATTAAGAGCTTAATGCATTTTTAATCTAATAACTTCAAAAACTAAAATGCAATAAAAATCTCAATTTCGTTAAAAAATTCCCGAAACCTGATTTTCTTAGCAATCAACCCATATGATAATAGATATACCGGGGGGGGGGGGGAACAAAAGTATTGCCCCCTTTTATTTTTTCAATAATTTTTTTTTTTTTACAGAAACAAACAAATTTTTTTTTTTTTTTCGAAAACTGCCATTAATATTTAGTATGTCCTCCATTGGCGTCGATCACAGCCTGAATTCTATTTGGCATTGATCGCACCATGATTCGGTACTCTTTTTGTGATA